CGATGTTTGCTATTTCTCTGACCAGTGTCTCCCTACGCATTTCAGATATATTGACCTCTTTTAGCCGCTCTGTTATTCTTTTCCGTCGCCTGTAAAGGGAGCGCCTGTCTCTTTCTATTTTACATCTACTCCTCCTTTTTCTTAGAGGAATAAGCCTTGTGCATACATCGAGTGCTGCCGAGTTAATCTGTTCTAGGCATAAGCTGGGGTCTGTGTTGCTTAGTATATCTTCCCAGCTTATATCGGTTAGGACTTAGTTTACTTGGCCCCACTTTATGTTTTTGTTATTGAAGTTGAATTTGGTGAATGCTCCCTCGTGACTAATCTCATTACGTCGGTCTGGGGCTCCGCGCATACATGTCTGAAACTCGATTATGTTGATATCCGAGTATATTGTTTTTGATATGGTGGCATTTCGTATCAGATCATCATTGTTAGTGAAGATGAGGTCTAGTGTATTCTCCAGTCTAGTAGGCTCTATTATTTGCTGGTTTAAATTGAATTTTGTGCAGAGATTTAAAAGCTCGTGTGTGTGTGAGTTCTCATCAGAGCTGCCTCCTGGTGTTATTACTGCAACAACATTATTTGCTATATTCCTCCATTTTAGGTGCCTTAAGTTGAAATCCCCCAGGAGCAAGATGTTGGGGGCAGGAGCTGGCAGATTTTCCAGACAGTGATCAATTTTTAACAGCTGTTCCTGGAATTGCTGGGATGTTGCATCCGGAGGCTTGTAGACTACCACAATGACTAGGTTTTAGTTCTCGATCTTTACTGCTAAAACATCCACTACATCATTTGAGGCATTAAGCAGTTCTGTGCAAACAAGTGACTCTGCGATGTACAGGCCAACCCCCCCCCCCATCCCTTTTGCCTGTTCACTCTGTCGCATCTGTATAGGTTGTAACCTGGGATCCATATTTCGTTGTCCAAGTGATCCTTTATGTTGGTGCATGTTTACCTGTCTTATTCCTATCTTCGCTAGCACCAACAATGGAGCTCTCACCAGTTGTTTTTGGTAATATATCCTCACTATTGCTAGTGGAGTCCTCTTGTTTGCTATTTCCTGTGGTATTACTAGTTTGCAATATTGGTTTTATCTTATCTTTGACTACACTTGTTTCCCCACTACAGCTCCTGTCTCCCATGGGGTCATTTATATGCATTCCCTCCTGCGTATATTTCCCAACTACCTGGACAAAATCTCCAGCTTCACCATTACTGTCTCCCAGGACAGCACTATCAGCCCCACATTTACTGACTACCAGGACATCACCTCCAGCCTTACAGTTTCTGACTACATGGCCAGCATCAAGGGCAGTACCATCCAGCCCAGACTTTTTATGTTCCCATCTGTTGTAGAAAGCTTCCAGGTTGTCTACGAAAGCAGCTTTGATGTTATCCTCTTTTAATAACAATGTGATTTTATTCCACAGATTTATCTCATTTGGGCATACTCAAAAACACTTCCCTGATTTTATACTGCTTGTAGCTAGTTCTTGGATATCTGCACAAGGGGCGTGACACCAATTTCCACAAAAATGACAATTTATCCATGTGGAAGCCCATTTGTTTGTTTGACTGCAGACTACACAGAGCTTCATAATGATTTGAATGGTTGATTTACTGTAATTCTACTAGCAACCTCTTGAATACTCTATTAATAACCTCCTAAAGTGAAGCTCTAGCTATTTGTAATTCTATTTCTAACTGTACTTGTATATTAGGACAGCTTACCGGTGTACGTTCCTGATTTTATATATATTGTTTGTGTTTGATAAGGGCGCCTACAACTCCATCCGTTTACAGACTGCTTTATTGTCCAATGAATCCGTTTGAAACCGGTCAAGGGTTCGGACCAGTCGAGGGTTCGACCAGTCAAGGGTTCGGAACCAGTCTGATCTGATCAGTGGGTCACTTATTTAGAACATACTGGTCGGTGATTTGGGCTAACACATGAAGGATCTACTGAAAATTATCTACCCGAGTAATATGTGATTTGATTGATACAAAAGTATAACTTGCGTCTTGAAGACCCGGTGATTGCTGGCAGCTCCTACAGTGATGAACGGTCGAGCCTCAACCCTTGTTTATCAGTCGCTGTATCTAGCTTTTCTAGGTTTTTTCCGTCTCCACCACAACAAATGCTATATTATCACTATAGTTGACTGGTGGAAATTTTTTGGAGGAAAGACGCTTTTTCTGTAGTAATATTTGCTTCTCGTTGTGTATATTGCGACTGCTGGTAACTACAGGTTATATGAAATTCACAGTAGACGTCTGGTATTTTAAGAAGAGAGAAACTAATGAAAGTCACTCCGCTCCACTAAGTACCATTATATTACTGGTTAGTTGCTACTACAACATTGTATTCTGCTATTCACTGATATCACTAGATTATATGCGAGGTACACTAGCAGGCCAGGAAGATTATTAAAACAGCTGACTTGTGTGGCAAGTTTCTGGCGACTTCTGGCACCTGCCTCTATAAGCTTATCCCTTCATTTACAAATTCACCTGTTTTCAAAAGACACTTTAGCATTTATTTTCTATATACTAGGGAGCCACTGTAGTATACACTATACTGTACACTGTGTATACACAATGTTATCAGGGAGACTTTCTTTCCTCTGACAAAGAAAAATTCTATTATTATTATTTTGTACACGGCACACTAGGCCTATGATTCCCCTCTGGCAGTAAACTCTCCTAGGTAGTGCACACTAATTCTCCTTTTTTGACTCAGTATATAATGTTTTCTGCCCAAGATAGGTTCCAAGCGCTAGAGGGATGTATCGTATAGTATTGATGGCGCAAATTAAAGTTCTAGCACGTAAGAGCAACCGTGAAAACACGAGAATACACGGAGCACAACGAGGCACGCTGACACCTGACCTAACTATTTCGCTAGAACTACAATTTTTCTATCAAATGAGTACAAGAAACCACCCATTTACTGTTTTCAACTATCCAATAAAGCTGTCAGAAATTAGTAATTTTGCCAATTTCACACAAATTTCAAAAGATGCCAATTTCCAAACAGGGTCCAGAATAGACAAGACAGACATTCCTGGCACTAAAATAACATTTCCTCTGTTCATTAGTCATGCCCCCATGCCCCTCTTACATTTCTTTTGCTTTCCACTTTGAATTTTTATTTTCACAAAAAATAGAAGATTTACTGTTATGCAGACTACTGCATTAGTGTAGAAATGGTATAAATAATATCAGCGCACTTGCGAAAGAGTATTAGACTCGGCAGTTGATGTGTATTGGAAGTGTGGCATGATTTGTTTACTTTTGAACTTTGGCAAAAATCAAACATTTCTGCTACTTTGAGCTCAATTACAAGGTAATTTTCATTGTGAAACCAATCAAAATCATCTCAATTTCTGTAATATATCATCCATTCTATAAAATGAGACCAAGAAAACTAGAATACAATCATAAATACCATACAAAAATACAGTGTAAAGTCGCTGTTTTAAACCAAAAACACGGTCAGTTTTTTTTTCTCATTACGCACTGTGTGCTGCAGGATTTTTTTTATACTGTGCACACTGACCACACAGACCCATTCTTTCATATGTAAGCATACCAGCTTTCTCTCACTAAATTTGAAGAAGCTAGAATTTAGGCGTACTAGTATGTCAATAACCCTGGTGCGTAAGCCGTACTAGTACGTTGGAAACCCTGAAAGAGTTAAAGGCATGTAGGTAACTCCTGATGTTCAATCATTCTTCTCTGTATTGGACTGAGGAAGGCACTGCTTGTTAAAACATTTCCACAAGAGAGATACCCAAGTATTACTAAATTTAAAAAGAAAAACTTTCTCTTTTCTTTTAGGTCACCCTGTCTTGGTGGGATGCAGCTGGTGCATTAAAAAAAAAAGTGTTGTACAAGTGTCTAATTAATCTCATCGCTATAAAAATATATTTTTGGGGGGACAAAATACAAATACCATTCCTATTGCTACATATTACTGATGGTAAATAACACTGAAAATTTGATGAACAATACTTGGGAACCTTTACTGCCAATGATGATAGCCAAGTGTTGCATGTATCTTATTCATGAAGATTTTTACATGTTGAAAAAGGTATAAAATACTGACAAGTTGATGATTAAGACACATGTGCAACAGTTCGTTATCTTTATTGTTGATACGTTTCAGCTACAGAGTAGGCTTCTTCAATCAAATACAGGGGCAGCAGGTGTAGTAGTGAAATGAAGATGATGTAATCAGTCCATCAACCAAGGAGAAATGTTTCTACAATAAAGATATCCAACTGTTGCACACGTGTTTTATTCGTGAAGATTGCTTCATGCCAGAGGTGACCACTCTCAGTGAAGTTCACTGTTTCCTCGTGTGTTTTATAGGTAACATGTAATCACCACTTGACTGCTTACTACCACTAGCTGTTAACCAAATGTGTCATATTTTCTCTCATAGCCACAACATGTAGCAAGCTGACCTACATACGCTAAGTGTCACACGTATAGGTGAAGGTATTTAGTGACTGTAACATAAAACGACTTGCATTATATTTGAAGTTAACTTCAGGTTGATTATTTTCCTCACACGAGCCTTCCTTGTCCCTCCCTCATTCTATACATATTGTACCCTGTTGATTGCTACCCCTGTAATATTTCAAATATTTGAACTAAGCCAAAATGTTCAGCAAGGTTTGCCTGTAACATACAAAAAGATAAAATAGCCAATACAATTTTCACTACACACTTAGATAAGAAGCAGACATTCAATGAAACAAGAATCAGCCTTATACTCTGGCTTCATGAAGAGGGAACACTGCTATGTACAACTGACATTCAATAAAACATGAATCAGCCTTTTATTCTGGCTTTGTGAAGAGGGAACACTGCTATGTACAACTAACATTCAATAAAACATGAATCAGCCTTATACTCTGGCTTCATGAAGAGGGAACATTGCTATGTACAAGTGAATGGCATCAATCACCACCATAGAGGACTGTACTTACCACTAGGATGAGCATCAGTCCCAGCATCGCTTGCATCACTGGTGAAGGAGCTGTTATCTGAGGAGGCCTCAGAGCTGGTGTCTGTCGCTCCAGCATCACTAAAGGCATCGGCAGCATCAAAGTACTCTGAGGCACTAAAGCACGAGCTGCTTTCGTACGACAGGGATGTATGCAGTGATTTGTGGAGCTGCAGCAGCACGGAAAGTCCAAAATTATAATCAATAATTCACACTGAAAAATACAGTCAATCCTCAATTTAACAGACTATCACAGGGCGTGGTTCTCTGATCCATGTATCTATATTCCTGTCAGACACAGCAGCATCTTGGCATCTTGATACAGGAGGGGCCCTACTTTATAGTGCTTTACTTTACAGCATTTCAGTAATGAAGCATTTTTGAATTATACCCATTCTTCATTTATTCAGACTTCCTACAATGAATATATTCATCACTCACTATAAGCATGAAAATATTTCAAGGTAAGTAATGTGCATACTGTATATGCACTTTTTAGTCCTAGTTCTATTGCTCACTTAATATGATAGTGTAGTGTAGTGGAGGTATTGGGTAGATGGCGAGAATATTTTGAGGAACTTTTAAATGTTAAGGAAGAAAGGGAGGCAGTAATTTCATGCACTGGTCAGGGAGGTATACCATCTTTTAGGAGTGAAGAAGAGCAGAATGTAAGTGTGGGGGAGGTACGTGAGGCATTACGTAAAATGAAAGGGGGTAAAGCAGCTGGAACTGATGGGATCATGACAGAAATGTTAAAAGCAGGGGGGGATATAGTGTTGGAGTGGTTGGTACTTTTGTTTAATAAATGTATGAAAGAGGGGAAGGTACCTAGGGATTGGCAGAGAGCATGTATAGTCCCTTTATATAAAGGGAAAGGGGACAAAAGAGACTGTAAAAATTATAGAGGAATAAGCTTACTGAGTATACCAGGAAAAGTGTACGGTAGGGTTATAATTGAAAGAATTAGAGGTAAGACAGAATGTAGGATTGCGGATGAGCAAGGAGGTTTTAGAGTGGGTAGGGGATGTGTAGATCAGGTGTTTACATTGAAGCATATATGTGAACAGTATTTAGATAAAGATAGGGAAGTTTTTATTGCATTTATGGATTTAGAAAAGGCATATGATAGAGTGGATAGAGGAGCAATGTGGCAGATGTTGCAAGTATATGGAATAGGTGGTAAGTTATTAAATGCTGTAAAGAGTTTTTATGAGGATAGTGAGGCTCAGGTTAGGGTGTGTAGAAGAGAGGGAGACTACTTCCGGTAAAAGTAGGTCTTAGACAGGGATGTGTAATGTCACCATGGTTGTTTAATATATTTATAGATGGGGTTGTAAAGGAAGTAAATGCTAGGGTGTTTGGGAGAGGGGTGGGATTAAATTATGGGGAATCAAATTCAAAATGGGAATTGACACAGTTACTTTTTGCTGATGATACTGTGCTTATGGGAGATTCTAAAGAAAAATTGCAAAGGTTAGTGGATGAGTTTGGGAATGTGTGTAAAGGTAGAAAGTTGAAAGTGAACATAGAAAAGAGTAAGGTGATGGGGGTTTGTCAAATGATTTAGATAAAGAAAAATTGGATATCAAATTGGGGAGGAGGAGTATGGAAGAAGTGAATGTTTTCAGATACTTGGGAGTTGACGTGTCGGCGGATGGATTTATGAAGGATGAGGTTAATCATAGAATTGATGAGGGAAAAAAGGTGAGTGGTGCGTTGAGGTATATGTGGAGTCAAAAAACGTTATCTATGGAGGCAAAGAAGGGAATGTATGAAAGTATAGTAGTACCAACACTCTTATATGGGTGTGAAGCTTGGGTGGTAAATGCAGCAGCGAGGAGACGGTTGGAGGCAGCGGAGATGTCCTGTTTAAGGGCAATGTGTGGTGTAAATATTATGCAGAAAATTCGGAGTGTGGAAATTAGGAGAAGGTGTGGAGTTAATAAAAGTATTAGTCAGAGGGCAGAAGAGGGGTTGTTGAGGTGGTTTGGTCATTTAGAGAGAATGGATCACAGTAGAATGACATGGAAAGCATATAAATCTATAGGGGAAGGAAGGCGGGGTAGGGGTCGTCCTCGAAAGGGTTGGAGAGAGGGGGGTAAAGGAGGTTTTGTGGGTAAGGGGCTTGGACTTCCAGCAAGCGTGCGTGAGCGTGTTAGATAGGAGTGAATGGAGACGAATGGTACTTGGGACCTGACGATCTGTTGGAGTGTGAGCAGGGTAATATTTAGTGAAGGGATTCAGGGAAACGGTTATTTTCATATAGTCGGACTTGAGTCCTGGAAATGGGAAGTACAATGCCTGCACTTTAAAGGAGGGGTTTGGGATATTGGCAGTTTGGAGGGATATGTTGTGTATCTTTATATGTTTATGCTTCTAGACTGTTGTATTCTGAGCACCTCTGCAAAAACAGTGATAATGTGCGAGTGTGGTGAAAGTGTTGAATGATGATGAAAGTATTTTCTTTTTGGGGATTTTCTTTCTTTTTTGGGTCACCCTGCCTCGGTGGGAGACGGCCGACTTGTTGAAAAAAAAAAAAAAAAAAAAAAAAAAAAACACGTTATCAGACTTTTATATGCATTTGAAAGTGAAAAAAGGCTATGTTTCACTTTACAGTGATTTCCATTCTACAGTAGCAACCCAGAACCTAACCTGCTGTGTAAGTGGGGCCCAGCAGCAGTCCGGAACCTAACCTGCTGTATAAGCGGGGCCCTACAGCACAAGGAATTCTACACTTGCTTAACCTATAAGAATGACCTACTTCCACCAGTGGATTTTTTCCATTGTGACACACCTACAACTGCTTTGCCTTACCTGTCTACAGTATATAAGCTCCTTCTTCACACAGAAGTTGTAGTCTTATCAAGATTGCTGGACAATCACATTGATTTTACGTTGAGGTAAGCCACTGGTTGCTAAAATTTTTCCACAATAAAGATACCCAAGTGTCTAATTTATCAACTTGTTGGTTCTCTGAACCATTTATCTATAGACTAGTAATGACGCTTTGTAGTGTTAGTAACAATAACAGACAATTCTGGAAGTGAACCTTGGGGTTTCTGAACTGACGCAGCGAATCCTGTCCCGTATTTCCAAAGTGTGGTAAATCAGGGTACGTTAAACTAAGGATTTACCGTACATAAAAGCTCAGAGTATTAACAACATATGTTTCAGCTGGTCTATGGGTAAGAATTTTCATACAACTATCATGTGATGATGAAAGTAATATATGTGGAATTGTTACACATCAAAAAACAACTGTAATACAATATTGGCACAGGATGACAGCAGTACTGAAATTGCACAGTCATTTAGAGAGAATGGATCAAAGTAGAATGACATGGAGAGAGTGTAAATCTGTAGGGAAAGGAATGCGGGGTAGGGGTCATCCTCAAAAAGGTTGGAAGGAAGGGGTAAAGGAGGTTTTGTGGGTGAGGGGCTTGGACTTCCAGCAAGCGTGTGTGAGCATGTTCGATAGGAGTGAATGGAGATGAATGGTATTTGGGACCTGACGATCTGTTGGAGTGTGAGCAGGGTAATATTTAGTGAAGGGATTCAGGGAAACCGGTTATTTTTATATAGCTGGACTTGAGTCCTGGAAATGGGAAGTACAATGCCTGCACTCTAAAGGAGGGGTTTGGGATATTGGCAGTTTGGAGGGATATGTTGTGTATCTTTATACATATATGCTTCTAAACTGTTGTGTTCTGAGCACCTCTGCAAAAACAGTGATTATGTGTGAGTGAGGTAAAAGTGTTTAATGATGATGAAAGTATTTTCTTTTTGGGGATTTTCTTTCTTTTTGGGTCACCCTGCCTTGGTGGGAGACGGCCGACTTGTTGAAAAAAAAAAAAAAAAAATTCTGTGATTTTTAATCATATAAAGATATACTGAGAATATCTAATCAAGAAAGGACTGAAAACAATGGATCTGAATTGAACAAATTCAGATTAATAAAGGATAATGGAAAGCACTGGTTTGGCAATAGTGTTATTGATGAAACAAAACACTGAAGTACTGTTAATGAAGATAATACTTCAAACAGTTTTAATCTTGTATGTTATAATGAGAGAGTATCTTAAATCTGACTCTTAGTCAAAACACAGTGACTTCTTACAATGATGCCACATGAGGATTACATACAGTACTTTATAGTGAAGAAATACAGGTGTTAGGTGAGTGTTGGTATGTAGTCAGGATCACCATCAACCTAAATTTCTGAAGTATAAAGTACAGGAAGGCACTGCATATACAGCAGATATTTTCAGTGTTCCAAGTTTTTGTTAGCATTTAATTGAGCCATTGATCATTATGTTTGGTGTTTTTACTACTGTGCCGTTGTACAAGTGGTGCTGTATGAGAGGCGCTGTATGAGTGATGCTGTATGATTGGTGCTGTATGAGTGGCGCTGTATGAGTGATGCTGTATGAGTGGTGCTGTATGATTGGTGCTGTATGAGTGGCGCTGTATGAGTGATGCTGTATGAGTGGTGCTGTACGAGTGGCACTGTACGAGTGGGGCTGTACAAGTGGCACAATGTATGAGTGGGGCTGTACGAGTGGGGCTGTACGAGTGGGGCTGTACGAGTGGGGCTGTACGAGTGGGGCTGTACGAGTGGCGCTGTACGAGTGGCGCTGTACGAGTGGCACTGTACGAGTGGCACTGTACGAGTGGCACTGTACGAGTGGCACTGTACGAGTGGCACTGTACGAGTGGCACTGTACGAGTGGCACTCCCCTGTACATCACCTTATACTTCATGGTTCATGTCTTCACAACAATTGTCAAGTTAGATCCTCAACAATAAAAGTGTAAAAAACAGCTCAGATAAACTAAATGAAGTGTAAATGTGGCAGCTCTTCACCATATTATAAAGAACAAGAAGTCACAAGACCGTGACTGGAACAATACACAAATAACCCGCACACACGACAGAAAAAGTTTACGACAATGTTTCAGTCTGACTTGGATCATTTACAAAGTCAAACTGACTTTGTAAATGGTCAAAGATGGACCAAAACATAATCATAATCTTCTCTCTCTCCTATGTGCGGGTTATTTGTGTATGTATTCACCATTTTATAAACAATTTAATATTCTGAATACAGTAGACAGAGTGAAATCACAACTTCTATGTCAGAGAAAAGCCTCACCTAACTTCACTAGTGTTGTCAGTGTGAAAGATTTAGGTGAAAGCACTCAAAGCACACAAGGAAAGCCCACAATCACTGGTAGCTAAAAGTATACATGTACTCACAAGTTCGGACATTGATGGCGGCACTGAGATATCGGACAAGTCAGAGTCGGCGTGAATCCTGGCCAAGCGACCTCTCAGTTCTGCATTTTGTTGCAAGGCCTGAAACAAAAATATCTTGATAAAAAAAGAATAAAATTTCTAAATAATTCACCAAAAACCTGCACTTAGGAAAAGAACCTCATGAAGTTTTGGTCCATCCTAACAGTAGTTCAGGACAGACCCAAAATGTCACAGGTTTCCTCTCTAAACTGCGGGTTTTTTGCTAATTGTTCCAGCCACAGTATTGCAATTTTTTTCTGTCTGCCAATCAATTTAGAACTATAATTAAAAATCACCTCATATCTCCAATGTAACTTCACCAACACTATGCTATACCAAACAAAACCAACTCGTCAAAGTACTTTCAGTTTCTTCACCATCTCGAAGAATCTTCCTATAGCATGAAATCATAAAACCAGTTTGAAACTACTCAAGAAATCCCAATTTATCTACGATCACTAAATCAGTTTAAAGTATTAATACAGCCTCCTCACTTAACGATGGAGTTCCGTACCTAAGACTTCATCGGTAAATGAATTCATCGCTAAGTTAGGAGCATATTATAATGGTAGTGGGTTTGTGTCAACCATCTTTGATATTTTTTTAATGTTACCTTTGTACCATTTATAACATTTCTTGTATATTCTTAAATGTTTATACAGTAGTGTACTGTATATTGTAATAAACAGAATAGAGGAAATCAGCTCTAATATACATTATTTTGGTATGCATACTTGTCAGAGAGCCCGTAGTAAGTCCGAGGCGTTGGTAAATGAGTATGTCGCTAAGTGAGGAGAGGCTGTACACACTTAACCTTTTCGGGGTTTCGGACGTACTAGTACGGTTTATGGGCAGGGGTTTTTGACGTACTAGTACACATAAATTCTAGCTCCGTCAAATCTCACAGGAAAAGGCTGGTAGGCCTAGATGTGAGAGAATGGGTCTGTGTGGTGGGTGTGAGCGGTAGAAAAAAAATCTGGGACCCAGTGGTGCATTGTGGGAACGCCATCTTAGTAAACAATGTCCACCATGCCTCACGGTAAGAAGTTCCTCACTCCTCGGCGAATTGGGACACTTTTGTTCCCCAGTGACAGTTCTAATACAGATGGAAGTGCCAGTGAAGATGAGTTTCAAGGTTTTGGTGAGGTTTTGACCGAAACTAATGACCATAATATCGGTAATAGTGAGGAAAACCCAGACGACCCTCAGGCTTCCACCTCTTGCCACAATAATGCTTATGCCACATGTGTATAAGCACAGAGTGAAATCATACTGGTCAACAGACTGCCTGATTGCAACCCCAGGTTTCAGTGATATAATGTCAGTGAATCAATTTGTGCTACTGTTACGTATGCTTCACTTCTCAGACAAAACCAGGCCTGACAGAAACGACAGGTTATATAAGACTAGGCATGTGTTTGTGTATCTGAAAGAAAAATTCAATATGTATTTTTATCCCTTCAGGAAGCTTGTAATTGACGAGTCTTTGATTCTGTTCAAAGGAAGACTCTCTTTCAAGCAGTACATACCAAGCAAGAGGAAACGCTTTGGTATAAAGTTATTTGTGCTTTGTGATTGTTACAGTGGTCTGCTATTGGATATCATTGTGTACACTGGAAGTTATACATTGCAAAATACCAGGAACTTATTGGGCATCTCTGGTTAGAACAATGATGGAACCATATCTTAGTAAGGGGCATATATTATATACAGATAACTGGTACACAAGCCCCACACTCAGTGATTTTTTGCGAGTGAACACGACAGATGTGTGTGGCACAGTGCGTGCAAATCGGAAACATATGCCCAGGTTCGACGCTGGCACTCATAGAGGTGAAGTGCAGGCGTTTGCTGCCAATGACATCATGGCATTTCGGTGGCATGACAAACGAGATGTTACACTGTTGTCATAAATTCACCCTAATGAAATGGCAGACACTGGCAGGCAGCATAGAGAGAGCAATGAACCCATTCTAAAACCTGCAGCTGTGATTGATTACATCTTCAATATGCATTCAGTGGACAAATGTGACATGCAGATTGGGTTTGCTGATTGTGTTTGCAAGAGTTCTAAGTGGTACATAAAACTCTTTTTCCATCTTCTGGACATTTCCATGCTGAATGCTTATAATATGTATAAGATGAGGACCAGAAACAAACCACCATACGGCGAATTCTGTTTGTCTGTCATCAGACAAATAGTATTCAAGTATCAAGGAACAACACCTGCAATAGGCCGCCCACCAAAATTTTCAACAAGTTCCTTCTTGTTTGAAGCATGGTGATCACTTCCTGGTAAAACTGCCTGCTACTGCTTTCAAGAAAAAGGCTCAGAAGAGGTGTTACGTCTGTGCACATACAAGAAAACGCCCACAACAACACAGAGACACTCGTTTTAAGTGTGAGGAATGTACAACACCACTGTGTATGACACCATGTTTCAAAGAGTTCCACAGGCTGCAGAACTTCTAGAAACATTCCCTGTGACTGTATATGTGTATATAAAATATAGAAAAATAGTAATAAACAACATTTATATCGTTTGTGTAAATATTTTATGTAGTATTGAAAAAGAAATAACTTACAAAATAGTGCTCATATTGGTCTCACAGGCCATAAAAGTTACTTGGAAAAAGAAAAATTGAAAAATAATACAAAATAGTACATAAAAAAGTAAATAGAAGAATACCGGGTGATGGCAGTCAGTGATGTTGCCATATGGTGCACCTTTTTCATCAACTTCACGCCTCCATATCTTGGAAAGTATTGATAGTAAAAAATTTTTGTTTGGCCTATAATGTTTAGAAAAAAAAAACTATTTTTTTCATAAGATTTTTTTTTTTTTTTTTTTTTTTTTTTTTTAAATTTGGCCAACCCTGAGAACAAGTCTCTGAGAGGACCTGTCGACCCCCAAAGGGCTAAAATTGTACTAACTGTAATATTTTTTTGCTACCTCTCTACTGTAAATTGTACAAATTAAAATATTTTTGCTTCCTCTCCTTTTTGTAATAATGCATAATTAAAATTTACCACTCCATAACCTATGTCTAGTCTTAAGTCGTGTCTAAGCACTAGTATTAGTCTGCCTGAAATGCTCTTGCATGCTAGTGGCTTTCTTTGTGTTTAGGCTGAAAAAAGTATAAATGAAGCAATCATACAAATATAAGAACTGCTATATGCATTTGATACAGTGGACCACAATCTCTTGCACATTCAACTTGAACATTATGGGGTCAGAGGACATACCCTTGAATACCTAACATCTCATCTTGGCAACAGATACCAGTATGTCTCCACAAACAGTGTAATCTCAACTACTCAGCCTGTAACTGTTGGAGTACCACAGGGTAGTGCTCTTGGCCCTCTGCTGTTTCTCATTTACATCAATGACCTCCCCAATGCATCTCATCTCAAACCAGTTCTATTTGCAGATGACACTACTTGTCTTTTCCCACACTAACCCAACTATGCTTAGTGACACTGTTAATGACAAGCTACTAAAAATATTTACAAGGATAACAACCAACAAACTCTCAATATAGACAAAACCTACTTCATGCTGTTTGGAAACAGAGCTTTAAATATCCAACCTAACATACTGCTCAATGGTTCCTCCATTACAAGACACACTGAGGACGAATTTTTAGGGCTACACCTTGACAGCACTCTTAAATTTCAGACCCACATCCAACATATAGCCAAGAAGTTCTCCAAAACAGTAGGCATCCTTTCCAAAATATGGTACTGTGTACCTCAAATGGCACTACTTACACTACATCACTCTAATCTACCCTTACCTCAACCTATGGCATTTGTACTGGGGAATCTACTACACCCAATCACCTTAAACCATTAATAACCCAACAAAGAGCTGCTGTGCAGATAATCACCAATTCCTGCACCAGACAACACACCCTTCAGCTCTTCAAGATTTTGAACTTACTAAATATACAAAATATGCGCTCATATTACTGTGCCTTCTGTATACATGTAAGGTGATGAGAGTATCAAATGATTTAGATAAAGAAAAATTGGATATCAAATTGGGGAGGAGGAGTATGGAAGAAGTGAATGTTTTCAGATATTTGGGAGTTGACGTGTCAGCGGATGGATTCATGAAGGATGAGGTTAATCATAGAAATGATGAAGGAAAAAAGGTGAATGGTGCATTGAGATATATATGGAAGCAAAAAATGTTATCTATGGAGGCAAAGAAGGGAATGTATGAAAGTATAGTAGTACCAACACTCTTATATGGGTGTGAAGCTTGGGTTGTAAATGATGCAGCAAGGAGGTGGTTGGAGGCAGTGGAGACGTCCTGTCTAAGGGCAACGTGTGGTGTAAATATTATGCAGAAAATTCGGAGTGTGGAAATTAGGAGAAGGTGTGGAGTTAATAAAAGTATTAGTCAGAGGGCTGAAGATGGGTTGTTGAGGTGGTTTGGTCATTTAGAGAGAATGGATCAAAGTAGAATGACATGGAGAGCGTATAAATCGGTAGGGGAAGGAAGATGGGGTAGGGGTCGTGGTGTTGTGGGCGAGGGGTTTGGACTTCCAGCAAGCGTGCATGAGCGTGTTAGATAAGAGTGAATGGAGACAAATGGTATTTGGGACCCAACGAGCTGTTGGAGTGTGAGCAGGGTAATATTTAGTGAAGGGATTCAGGGAAACTGGTTATTTTATATAACCGGACTTGAGTCCTGGAAATGGAAAGTACAATGCCTGCACTCTAAAGGAGGGGTTTGGGATATTGGCAGTTCAAAGGGATATATTGTGTATCTTTATACCTATATACTTCTAAAATGTTGTATCCTGGGCACCTCTGCAAAAACAGTGATTATGTATGAGTGAGGTGAAAGTGTTGAATGATGATGAAAGTATTTTCTTTTGGGTATTTTCTTTCTTTTTGAGTCACACTGCCTCGGTGGGAGACGGCCGACTTGTTGAAAAAAAAAAATATATATAGAACATTAAACTCCAACATAAACCCTCCTCTCAAACTTCTTGATACTTACAACAGAACACACAGGCACAATACAAGGCAAAAAAAACTCTGACATCCCTTGTGTCCATCTCACACTATGCAAAAATGCAATGTACATAAAGGGCCCCAAGATCTGGAATTCAGTGTCTGAACCAGCAAAAGGTTCCCTGCCCGCCAACCAATTTAGGACTAGAATTAAAACTCATCTCATCTACCAAATTTAACTAAAACAACACTATATTATTCCTGTAATCATTCAACCAGTTTGAAACTTCTCAAGTAATCTCTGTTAACTCAAGACCACTAAAATATTAAGACACACTTAAAATTGCAATGTGGTAATACTGTAAACTGTACTAATTATAATACTTTTGTTTCTTGCTACCTATCTATTATAAATCTTAATAATTATAAAAGTTTTGGCTACCTCTCGTTTGTTTGTTTTTTCAACAAGTCGGCCGTCTCCCACCGAATAATTAATGAATAATGAATAATTAAAATTCACCACTCCATAACTTATGTCTAGCCTAAAGTACTAGTGTGTAAGCATTAGTATTAGTCTGCCCAAAATGCTTAGGCATGTTAGTGGCTTTCTTTGTACTTAACAATATTTCATGTAAAAATAAATCTCACATTGTATACTATGCAAAGAAATAAAATTTGTGTTTGTATAGCAATATTTTATTATATGTAAACTACATTTTGTACACTACACAAGGAAATAAAATTTGATTTATTTGACTTTTAAATAAAAATTGCATAAAAACTGTAAATTTTGTGCATGATTGGCTTAGACTTCCAGCAAGCGTGTGTGAGCACGTTAGATAGGAGCAAATGGAGACAAATGGCTTTTAGGACTTGACGTGCTGTTGGAGTGTGAGCAAAGTAACATTTATGAAGGGGTTCAGGGAAACCGGCAGGCCGGACTTGAGTCCTGGAGATGGGAAGTACAGTGCCTGCACTCTGAAGGAGGGGTGTTAATGTTGGTTTGATAACTGTAGTGCAAGCACGCCTCTGACAAGACAGTGATGGAGTGAATAATGATGCAAAGTTTTTCTTTTTCGGGCCACCCTGCCTTGGTGGGAGACGGTCGATGTGTTAATAAAAACTAAAAAATAACTTGAATGATTTTAAAATGGTTCATAAGAGATGATTATTTGGCATCTGACACTGAAGTGTGATAAATATTTATCAATTATTCAGCTTTCATTAGTTTCCAATTTCTAGATATCACAATACACAGCACTGGTACATTTAGTGTCAAAGAATACAGTAATATAATTAATAAAAATAAAATAATCTATAAGACAATATTAGTGGTGATATTAATTTTAGAATGTCCAATTTATGGAAATATTTGCTCTTCTGGGTACAGCAAACCATAAATTATTTTAGCCCTTAACTGTCTAAACATAGATCTACGTTCTCTCGCCCAGCACTTCGAATATTTTGGAAAAAAAACAAATAATTTTTTTAAATAGAGGGCATTTTTTACATAAATGTAAACAAAAAATTTTTAGAGTCAGTATTTACGGAGATATAAGGCTGCAAAGTCAGCACCTGCCGCTCACCTGACGGCAACATGAAACGCTGTCGCTTGCAGAAGTGTTGACGATAAACCTTTTTTTTTTTTTTAATTTGTATAATTTTTATGCTCTGATAATTACAATTTCCAGTAGTTCTTGTGATTTCATAGCTAATCTTCATTCTGAGACTAACATTAGGTAGTGAAATAGTACTCAAATAGTCACAAACACAGTGACAGGTGAACACTGTCACCTACCTTAGTCACACACTATTGTCTAGAAATATATACATAGTATTTATAGGTCCAAGAAATGTTTTGGATATGCGAGAGTATATAATAATAATAATTCTAAGTTCCCTTGAAGCATGGTGTAAGACGAGTGTCACACCACTACTGACAGTGCAGCAGTTGTCACATTTGATGAGCGTGCATTGCCTTGGCTTTACTTGTTTTCAATGTCACACATAAACATGTCTGTTCTGTCTGTCTAGCTCTCTGTCTGTCCGTCTAGCTCTCTGTCTGTATGTCTAGCTCTATGTTTATCCTAGCTGTTTATCTTTGTCTCTGCTTATCTGTCTTTCTGTCTCTCTCTGTTTGTCTTTCTCTGTATGTCTGTGTCTCAGAGAGCCACTCGTGAACCAACAGGTATTACACACAACGCAGTCGTCACGCCCGACTCCAAAACATGTGAAAATAGTATTACTTGCCAGTCATGCTTACTATGCATTATATCTACAGGTACAGTATAGCACTTTGTCTGGATTTTTTGGGTTATCCTAGGTTATTTACACTATGTACAATTGTATTTGTGTGTACCTGTGAGACAGACACAGAGATGGACAGAGATAGATACAGCCAAAATCAATCAGCCAACCAGCCAGCCAGCTGGTCAGCCAGTCAGCCTGCCGAGCATGTATTACACGTTCCAGAATTGTTTCTCTTTACTTAGGGCATAGGTTATAAGACATTCTGGGAGGATGACACTACCAGTGGTGCGAAAATTGAAAGGATATTGCACAAATGTTGCACATGGGTTATTATTAAGGTTTTTGATATTTCCTCGACCACTTGTGGCCACATCCACTAAGTGGTCCCAGATTTTTTTTAATACTGTACACACCGAGTGCTAAGACCCATTCTATGCTGACTAGGCATCTCAGGCCAACCGTGCCAAATTTGGAGGCAGGAAAAATAAAACGTAGATCTACGTTTGGAGCGCTAGCATTAAGAACGTAATCTACGTTTGGACAGCTAAGGGGTTAAAATTTATTGCCTCTCACAACGTCCCAGAATACACGGCATGGATTGCAGGTGGACGTAGGCCCTGGAGAATCAATACTGAACATAGTAAGTGGGTGATGGTCAGCAGGTTCAAGGGCTAGGAGACAAATCATGCAGATGCTAGGCTTTTGGCTAGTCTTCCCAGGAATGTCCAGAAGAAAATAGTAACCAGAAGATCCTGCAAAGAACCAAACCCATGCTGCATGAGGGGAACTCCATTCAGGAAAAGAGGATTACAGCCTAACCCTCAGAACACTACATGTGCAAGTATTCAGTGGAGTGTGCAGAGTGCCAAACCTGGCACCAGAGGCAGCTAACCTAACCTAACTGACAGAAAGGCCTTTCCCAGAGAGAGAGAAAATGTCACTCAGGCAAGTCATGGAGGAAACAAATGGCCAGACATTATGCTGAAGAATGAGACATGTGTGCAACATTTGGAAATATTTAACAAGAAAATATTTTGTCAGCCAGTGTCTTCTTCAGTACAATACAGAGAAGAATAATGGAAGATGAAGAGCAGTTTGAGGTAATCAGTCCCTCAGCCTGGTGTCGATGTGTTCAGTCCACTGATCTTGATAAAAGTACAGCATTTCATCAGAGAAGTGACTTATATATTGCAGTCAGGTGAGAAAAACAGTAGGAGGCAGAGTCACTATTTAAATCACAGACAGTATGTTAATAAGAACAATCAGCAGAGAGCACTCAAGAACAGGTGTTGGAAGAACATGGATGCTGCAGTAACACTGCCTCCACAGTGTTCACAAACATACATAGTTGACTGCAGGAAAACACTAAGCAATACAAGGGAACCCGTAAAGCACACATGAAAACCCTGAGAGAGCAAACAGCCTCATCCAAGTGAAATAACCTTTGTTACAGACTCTCACTGCTATAACAATGCTAGGGACTAGGATGTTAAAGCCAAGCTTGTAACATGAAAAGCTCTCCTGACACACAAGCACCTGCAATGTCTGTTAATCTGGCTTGCTATTCCCACCAAAAAGCCATATACTTGTACATTATAAACATTAAAACAAAATACCAAGATAAATACACAAAGAACCCGCACACAGGAGAAAAACTTTATGATGACATTTCACAGTGTGACCAGTTAACAGTCCAAAGCATCGTCACGAAGTTTCTTTCTGCTATGTGCAAGTTGTTTGTGTATTGTTCCAGCCACAGTATTGTGCCTTTGTGCTCTTCACCCAAGATAAATCATAATGAACAATTGTCTATCTCAGTGGGATAAGACAGTAGAGTCATAGTTGGGTAATGATTAAATAGTTGAGCAATTATCAAAGCACAATTTACCATATGAAGTATTACAAATTAGCACAATTTAAAACAATGGAATTGAAACAATTTTAAGTTTTAAGTATAATGATTAAATAGTTGAGCAATCATCAAGCACAATTTACAATAATGAAATTTAAACAATTTTAAATTTGAAGTAAATGATCAAATAATTGAGGAGTCATAAATTATTTAGAAGTTTGAGAAACTGGCAGGTGTTAGGTATAGTGTTTGTCTGGTTAATTTTGGATGATGAGGCGATTTCTAAGTAGGACCTTAAATTGATTTGCAGGCGGCAGGGGCCCTTTAGTGCGTTTGGCAGTGACTTCCAGATCTTCAGGCCCTTTATGTATATAGCATTTTTGCATAGGGAGAGATGGACACGAGGAATATCGAAGAGTGATTTGTGTTTTGTGTTATGCCTGTGACTTCTGTTAAATCCTTCCTCTAAGTCAAGTGTGTTGTAAGAGGCAACTAAAATGCCAGGAGCAAGGGGTTAGTAACCCTATCGTGGGAGATGGCCAGTACAATAAAAAAAATCATATGATAATAATAAGAATATAGCTTACCTGATTAAGAGAGTTTCTTAGTGCAGCAATAATTGTTGTGGTGTTATGAGATGCTAGAAGATTAGTTTCAGACTCGAGAGCTTGACGGAGCTTTTCTCTCTCAGTCTGGATACCGCGTAGAACTTGCCCAACCTGACTAACAACTGAAAGCATCAAAACTGAAGTTATCTAGGAAATCAATGACTGAACTTATGTGGAATGTGTACCATAGCAAGTTGCTGTGTTAGAAATTTCACAAGTATCCACCAAAGCAGATGCTGGAGAGAGAGAGAGAGAGAGCAAAACTCTAATGTGTTCTTTTACAAATTCTTACCTTCCTTAGCCAGTATAGTAAAATCTTCCCGAGAAGTGCTCTCCATAGACAATGTGATGGTGGGGGGATTGGTTGCTTGATGCTGACTCTGTGAAGTTGGTGATGGGGTATTGGGAGGTTGAACCCCTCCCAGAATAGCAGTGGAAGCATCAGAGTAGCTATGGGGACGAGAGGCAGATGGATGCCAACAAGCACTATGCAGCGCCAGGGTTGGGTTACTGCTGCTCAGTGGTCGCAGCTCACATAGATTACCATCCACCTGCTAAAAAACAAAAGTTAAAACATTAATTACAAATACAAAAACATATACAGTACATTAACAGCATTAAGAGGACCCCAGATAGCTCCATGTAGAGTACATCAAGTACGTATTCACGAAATATTTAACATTCTGAAGTTGCGGAATTGTGATGGATTTATAATGCTACATACATTTATTAATTTTTTTTTAACAAACTGGCCGTATCCCAGGCAGGGCGACTCAAAAAAGAAACACTTTCACCATCATACACACAGTCATTGTGTTTCCAGAGGAATGCAGATATGACAGTTTAAACAACCCTCCAAAAAGCCACTATTCCTAACCCTTCCTTTACAGACCTTCGATCTAAAACTTGTCCGCAGGGTTCAAGATTTTTCAAAACAAAATTTTTTTCTTTTTTCTTATGAAATGACAAATATTTTCTGAAGGAAATGACACCAAGAGTAGGAAATTTTATGGAAAACTTATGAAACTGCACTTTTGAAAAGATAGTCTCGGCAATATTTACGCATCAGCGATTTCACCCAACTAGTCTTTTCATAGACCAATTACTCTGTTCCAGTTGACCAAATTCTTAGCTATTTCATTAGTATGCCTTTCATTCTATCAACTGAGTACAAGAAACCATCCATTTAGCAATTTCAACCACCCAATAAAGTGATTGGAAATCAGTAATTTGGCCAATTTCACACAAAATAAAAAAATTGCCACTTTAAAAATAGGGTCCAGAATAAACAATGTAGACATTTCTGGCACTAAAATAACATTTCCTCTGTTCATCAGTTATGTTCCCAGGCCTCTCCTGTATTACATTTGCTTTCCATTCTGAATTATTATTCACACAAAAAAATAGATCGTATACTGTTGTGCAGATTACTGCATTGTTGTAATAGTTGTATAACTTATGTCAGTGCATTCCTAAATGCATATTAGAATGGTCAGTTGGATGCATATTGGACGAGTGATGTGATATGTGTCTTCTTGAATATCAGAAAATATTGAATATTTCTCTACTTTGAAGTCAATTTCATGCTACTGCCAGTCCTGAAACCAATCAAAATAATCTCTTTCTGTTATATATCTTCCATTCTACAAAAAAAAAAAAAAAAAAATTAAGCCATAAAAACGACCTGAAAATACACCACAAAGTCGCTATTTTAAACCAAAAACCCAGTCAAAGTTTTTTTCAATCATGCACTGCATGGTGCACACTCATCAGAAAGACCCATTCTCTCGTTTCTAGGCCAAAATTTACCACTCGCACCTCACAGCTTATCTGAGTAAGCTGAGCTCATCGTGTAGATTTAGAGCACTGACCCAGAGCTTAAAACTGCGGTTCTATGGCACTGACCTCGAAGGGTTAGAGTGCAGGCACTGTACTTCCCACCTCCAGAACTCAAAATTTCAAGGTCAATCTAGCCAGGAGTCGAACCTTGGCTCTTTAGATTCAAAGTCGGATATGTTATTTTTTAAACACACTGGCCATCTGGGACTGTGACAGGATGACCTGAAAGAGAGGTAAAACATTCACCATCATCCACTTGTTAGTGCTAAACTCCAAAGTGTCATACAGTGACTGGAAAATAGAATGGGCAGGTAGTAACCAGGTGTGATCTGAGGCAGAGCCAGGTAGACCTAGATCAAGACCCCTTCACCAGCGTCAATGTTAAAAAGTAGCTAAAAACCCCATATAATAAAATACAACTAATTAACCCTCTGACTGTTTCGGTCGTATATATAGGTCTTACGCACCACTGTTTCTGACGTATTTATACGCGTAAATTCTAGCGGCTTCAAATCAAGCGGGAGAAAGCTGGTAGGCCCACATTTGAGAGAATGGGTCTGTGTGGTCAATGTGCACCATATAAAAAAAATCCTGCAGCACGCAATGCGTAATGAGAAAAAAAAACTGACCGTTTTTTTGGATTAAAACGCCGACTTTGAGGTGTATTTTTGTATATTATTTATCGTTGTATTCTCATTTTCATGGTCTTAGGTGATAAAATGGAAAACATATTACAGAAATAGAGATGATTTTTATTACTTTCATAATAAAAACAACCTTGAAATTGAGCTCAAAGTAGCAGAAATGTTCAATTTTTACCAATGTTCAGGAGTAAGCAAATCACACCACATGTCCAATACACGTCAACTGGGGAGTCTAATATTCTTTCACTAGTGCACTGATATTATTTATACCATTTTTACAATAATGCAGCAGTCTGCATAACAGTAAATTTTGTATTTTTTTTTGTTTGAATAAAAAATCAAAATAGAAAGCAATAGTAACATAAGAGGGGCCTAGAGACATGACTAATGAACAGAGGATATGTTATTTTAGTGCCAAGAATGTCTACATTGTTTATTCTGGACCCTATTTTGAAATTGGCATGTTTTTTAATTTGCGTGAAATTGGCCAAATTGCCAATTTCTGACCACTTTATTGCGTAGTTCAAATTGGTAAATGGGCAGTTTCTTGTACTCAACAGATAGACAAAATGGAGTTCTGAAGAAATAAGCTATGAGTTTGGTCAACTGGAACAATGGAATTGGCCAAAAACAGGGCTCAAAGTCAGCAAAATCGCCGATGCGTATATGTTGCCAAGACCGCTAACTTCGCAGGAGCGTAATTCCATAAGTTTTTGATCAAATTTCGTACTTTTGGTGTCATTACCATCGGGAATGGATTCTCTACCATTTCATAAGAAAAAATAATTTTTTTTTTTTTCCAAAAATTTTGCGACATAGAATGACAGTTTCAGAAAGGAGCTTGCGACAGTCAAAGGGTTAATAACAAAAAGGCACAATACTGTGACTGGAACAACACACAAATAACCCATACATAAGAGAAAGGAGCTTACGACGATGTTTTGGTCCAACTTGGACCATTTACAAAGTCACACTAACAGAACGGAGAGAAGGAGGGTGTATATATAGGCCAGCAGACAGGGAAGGGACCAGAGAGATAGTAGGAAAGTAAGAAGAGAGATAGTGGTAGAGGCAGTAGTAGTAGTAGTGGAGTCAGTGGAAGACTAAGAAAGAGAAGCACTGCAAGGGAGTTAGGGGCCCACAATGGAGCTAGGGGCCCACAAAAGGTAAGAAGAAAAACACAGAGGGGAAGGGGTAATGTAATAATGGACCAAACACCCAAGGCAGAAGAAAGAAAACCCAAAAGAGAAAGAGGAAAGGGGAAGAGGAAGGAGAAAAGAGAATCCTCTTCCCCTTTCCTCATTTTCCTTGGGTTTTCTTTCTTCTGCCTTGGGTGTTTGGTCCATTATTATATTCCCCCCCCCCTCTGTGTTTTTGTTCCTACCCTTTGTGGGCCCCTAGCTCCCTTGTGGGCCCCTAGCTCCCTTATGGGCCCCTAGCTCCCTTGTGGGCCCCTAGCTCCCTTGCAGTGCTCCTCTTTCTTAGTCTTCCACTGACTCCACTACTACTACTGCCTCTACCACTATCTCTCTTCTTACTTTCCTACTATCTCTTGGCCTATATATACTCCCTCCTTCTCTCCATTCTGTTAGTGTGACTTTGTAAATGGTCCAAGTTGGACCAAAACATCGTCACAACGTTCCCCTCTCCTATGTGCAGGTTGTGTAATAAAATACAACCCCATACAATACCATACAGTAAAACAGAATACAATTTTTATTTCTTGACCGAGGCTACAATATGTGATTTACATTTTATAAAGTGTTGCCAAGTACAAAAAAAAGCCACTGACATGCCGGGGCATTTCGGGTAGCCTAATCCTGATGCTTACACACTAGTACTTAAAACTCTGGCAGTGTTCCTGACTCTGGCAGTGTTCCTGACTCTGGCAGTGTTCCTGACTCCACTGAGAATACCTCCCTAAATCTTTTGTTCAGTTGTCAGAACTTCTGCACTGATAATTACCATCTTATCTTTCTTCAAAACTTTATTCTAAAACAATATTGTTTACATGGATAGAAGCTAATAAACCAAAATATTATAGTTAAGTTTTTCATCTGAAATTATTACAGGTGCTCCTTGACTTACGATGGTTAGGTTAGGTTCGGTTCGTCAGGAAACAGGACAAATGTTTCCTGACGCGGGTCTTAGTCAGATGATGACCCGCCTTTGGAGATTTTGGTCATCTGACCGAGGCCTTCCGCTGGCTTACCGGTCCACCCCTTTAAAAATTATGGTCGTTTATAACCATTGTTAAAACTTAGGATGGTTCGACTAAAATGGTGTAGAAAGCAATTACTTTGAAGATGAAACTTCAGATAATTACCCAACATGAAGCCAGCACATCCATAACTTGTTTTTTTTTTTTTTTCAAACAAGTCGGCCGTCTCCCACCGAGGCAGGGTGACCCACCGAGACAGGGTGACCCACCGAGGCAGGGTGACCCACCGAGGCAGGGTGACCCACCGAGGCAGGGTGACCCACCGAAGCAGGGTGACCCACCGAGGCAGGGTGACCCACCGAGGCAGGGTGACCCACCAAGGCAGGGTGACCCACCGAGGCAGGGTGACCCACCGAGGCAGGGTGACCCACCGAGGCAGGGTGACCCACCGAGGCAGGGTGACCCACCGAGGCAGGGTGACCCACCGAGGAAGGGTGACCCAAAAAAGAAAGAAAATCCCCAAAAAGAAAATACTTTCATCATCATTCAACACTTTCACCACACTCGCACATTATCACTGTTTTTGCAGAGGTGCTCAGAATACAACAGTCTAGAAGCATACACATATAAAGATACACAACATATCCCTCCAAACTGCCAATATCCCAAACCCCCCATAACTTGTATTCATTTATTTACTTTTCAATACTGGAACAGCATTTAGTTACAATAATTATTTATTTCTTCACTAACAGTAGCTATTTATTATTTACTTGTCCACTGACAGTAGCTATTTACTTACTTATCGTATCATTCATACTTGCCTTGAGACATTTTGAACTTATGATGGGTTTGTCAAAACGTAACCCCATCCTAACTCGAAGAATATCCGTATTTACATGACAATAAC